CCCCCACCCCCCCATCACTCCGTCTAGGTGCTTTGTTGCTGGGTGGTTTCCTGTACAGCTGGCAGTTTCCCCACTTCAACGCCCTCAGCTGGAACTTGAGGGAAGACTACTCCCGTGGTGGCTATCGAATGATGTCCGTCACCCACCCTGCCATGTGCAAGCGGGTGGCCCTACGGCACAGCCTCGGTCTGATTGGTCTGTCAACTTTAGCGCCCGTGCTGGATGTCACCACCTGGACCTTCCCCATCATCTCCTTACCCATCAACCTGTACATCAGCTACCTGGCCTTCCGGTTCTACCACAAGGGAGACCGCAGCAGCGCCCGAAAGCTGTTCTTTTGCAGCCTCTGGCACCTGCCCATGCTGCTGCTGCTGGCACTCACTTGTAAAAAGTATAGCAGTAATCAGGAGGGCGCCGCTCTACCTCGGGCCTTTTTACCCCTCACATTTCCAGCCAGCTAATTTCATAGATAACCCATGACATCAAAGACAGCTGTGGGACCCTCATTTTAACCACAATACTCCTTTAGTGGCTTACTTCAGTTGGACGGGAATGTGATCGGTGCTGACTTTCATATCAGGACATGAGCTGGAAGCGGTAGCTGAATTACAGAAAACACACTGAATTATTACATCAGGTTGTAATCATTTGAATGTGTGTGTACTGTATATATATATTCTGTATTTATTTATAACGGGGCCCACTAGTTGATCTCTCTTTTACATGACTGATGTTGACATACTGTAGAGTATAAATTGTACAAATGCAAAAATCAAATCATCAAACGAAATGTTTTATTTTCAGTCAGTGTGTATAAAAACAGGACGAATCAAAGTTTATCCGGAAGCTGCAGCATAGCAGTTATGTCGACTTTTGCTCGACTTTCACTTGATCCCTGATACTTGACGGTTAATAGGCCTTGTTGCGTTTTGCTTTTACACTGATGGGTCTCGATTCGTTAACACGATGCTTTAATTCCACATGGTTTGCCTGCACCAAAACAAAGGGAAGGCTTTCACCCCTGTAAGGAACAAGGGCAAATGCTCTCTGACAATAAATACGTCATGATCGTGATTCTGTCTTTTGTGTCATCATTTACTGTGTGTTAATAACTGTGCATGCAGTTGGTTTCTCTATACATATTTAAAGAACACACACGAACTGCTAGCACACCTCGTTAGGTGTTGCTGCCTGCATGATGTATGGATTTAGGTTTCAATTAAAGCCTTAGTGGGTATGCTCACTTTCAGAACAAATCGCCATCCCTCCAATGAGCTCCATTTAGCAGACCACCTCTGCACCTGTCAGTCAGCATGTGCTCCCCTTCCGCCTTTTACCCCTAGTTTTGGTATTTGGTTACATTTCCATCACCGCAGTCGGTGAAACAAGTGCCCCCTTCCTCTCGCTGCCATCCTCCTGCCATAAAAGGGGGCTGTAGGATTTAGCCGTGGTCGAGAGACCTGAAACGGCTCGACATCCTCGTAAAGCGCCTGACCGGATACAGAGTTTCATATCAGAGGGCTGAAGGAGAGCGATTGAGCCAGCTGCTACAGTTGGGGTGGGGTGAGGGGGCACACAACCTGTGTGGAGATTGAATGTCTTTACCAAACCTCACGGCTCAAAGTGATGGCCTGTTGTGGTTTACACGTGTTCATATAGAGATCGAGTGGTGAACCTCGCCTTGTACCATCAGGCAAGATAGTTGAACTCTTATTGCTTTTTGTGTTGTGTCCAGCCGTTGCTCCGAGTATAGAACAGTTTTTGAGTTTCTCTTCAGATTTAAGGTAAAAGGAAAAGAAAAATGTTTTGTTTAAATCATAGTAATTACCACTGAAAATCTAGGGAATGTTCATTCTCAGGAGGAAATGTATAGAAGCTATTTAAAATTGCAGACAATTAAAATAAACCTACTAGCTAGATTTTAAAAGAACTTTATTGGTTTCTCAGCAAAATTATATATGTGCCCGACTCTTTTTTTTCATTCCTGTGTGTCACCTTAAATATAATTTCAAATATTTGATTGTATCCAATAATGTAAGTTCTGTAGGGTTTAATTGCTGTAGCTTTAATGGAGGGTGGTTTTAAGCAGACTTTATTGTGGTAAAACTTACAGTAGACATAAAAAAAGAAAAGACTGTTCAAAGCAGGAGAATTAAGATGTCTAAAGCGAAGCTAGAGCAGCTCTTTAAGTATTTGATTTCCAAGGACACCACAAGCTTCTGTTAGTAATAATACTTTACATAAAAGCTGACTCCTATGTTACATAATAGAGTACATAAAAGCTGACTCCTATGTTACCGGGCATTTTAAACTTTAGATTTATCACATTTACTCAAATGTAGAATGAAGAAAAACTTCAAAAAGGCTGTGTCTATTATTATTTTATAAGTCAACAATATTTTATGAGTACTCTTCTCCCTTATTTCACTCCTCTCCATGCATAAAAACATGGAGGTCTCTCTTCTTCCCCATTGCTGATATCAGCCATTTAATCATTCATGTGATTTGCCAGTTCAGCGCGAGTGGGAGCTTTCATGCCAGAGTCAACAAAGTGAAGAGCGAAATATGCATCTGTAAACAGGGGAGACTCCCTGAGCAGCAATCTGCAGTCCAGCCCGGTGCAGAAAGCTTTCATATCCAGACTGAGACTCGGATCAGAGGAGGAGGGAAACGCTGTGCAACAGCTCGGATTCCAGGACTCTTCATACCAAGCGCAGAAATCTCAGGATGAAGGATGACCTCTGGCCTCTTTTCAAAGGTTGGTTGTTGCAAAACAGAATCCAAATAGCTGCATTAATCCTAAAGAAATATTTAGAGTGAAACTATACATCCAGCGCAGTAAAACTATCCAAAAAGTCCCCGCAGGAATATGCTATTAGAGTAAAAAGTGACTCTGATGCCATGGGGAGAAAATATTCAGTAGGCTACGATAAACTCGCCGTGGAGCATCAACACAAGCAACAGGTCCTTTTACTGCAATGCCATATTTTTTTCCACCAGGAAAATTACTCATATTTATATATTAAAAAAAAATAGATCTGCTCATAGAAATGCTCTGTTTGTGCGTCACGTTGCGGGCTCGGGATGATTATATTATCTTCTGTTCTTATTACAATTCAGGCCGTTGTTGCGACGTGGCTTTGACTCTTGCAGTCAAAACTTTAGGGGGGGAAATGAATCGTGCTTGTTCGTGTGTAATAACACGCATGAAAAAGAAGGCTGCACAAATCATTAAAAAAAACCCCACAATAGTTTATCAGTGGGTTGGCTGTTTCATAAAAGGGGCTAAAATACCGCGAGGTTTAAATCATCGATCTGTTTTGAGTCATCTCTAATCGAAAAGCACTCGGTGTCCCTGTTCTCCTCTCTTTTTCTCTAAAATGAAAATTTAATGCATGTTTCCGATACTCGATGCGTTTTATTTTCTGAGTTTGCTGAGCTTTGGAAGTTCTCAGATAAAAAACAAAATCATAATAAAAAATAAATAAATAAAATAAAAAGCATGCCTTGGTTTGGAAGATGGCTGAACTATGACCAAAAAACCTCTCCAAACAAACTATATTTTAAAAGTTTGTCTACATTAATGCGAGGGATACTTTTTTTCAAGAATAAATTAATAAAGACACCTTCATGGCATACTTTCTTTAAAGGTAAAATAAATAAATAAACACACGAAAAAAGATTAATAAATGCAGATTAAAATCGTGATTTTCTGCTTCTCAAGCTTTTGTCAGAAGCAGGATATTAGAATAACAAAGCCCGGGAGAGCACTGCCTCCATCATGTTAGATTATCGAAGTATTGTTTCCTGCTTTGCATCGTTAATTAACGTGCTGAGTACTGAAAAAACTGCAAAACTAAGTTGGAGAACTAAGCAAAGTTATTGTAATGCGCGACAAAAATCCAATTAAGACACACGTTTAATACAAAGGAAATATACCTGGGAGTTATAGGCTAACTATTATTATTATTATTATTATTATTATTATTATTATTATTATTATTGTTGTTGTTGTTGTTGTTGTTGTTGTTGTTATTTAGTATGTCATTGTTAATAGG